TGGTGCCCGTGTCCGTGCTCAAGCAGCCCAGCAGCGACGGTACGGCCGCCCGCGGCGTTCCCGCGGCATTCCCGTGGCGTTCCGGTACCGTTCCGTTGGCGTTCTGGTACCGTTCCGGTACCATTTTGGTACCATTTCGGTGGCGTTCTGCTGGCGTTCCGGCGGCGTTCCGCTGGAGTTCCGGTGGCGTTCCCACTGCGTTCCGGTACCGTTCTGCTGGCGTTCCGCTGGCGTTCCGGTACCGTTCTGCTGGCGTTCCGCTGGCGTTCCGGCGGCGTTCCGCTGGCGTTCCCGTGGCGTTCCGGTACAGTTCTGCTGCCGTTCCGGCAGCGTTCCGGTACCGTTCTGCTGGCGTTCCGCCGGCGGAACGCCGGCGTTCCCATGGCGTTCCCATGGCGTTCTGGTACAGTTCTGCTGGTGTTCCGGTACTGTTCTGCTAGCGTTCCGGTACCGTTCCGCTGGCGTTCTGCTGGCGTTGCGCTGGCGTTCCGGTGGCGTTCCGGTACCGTTCTGCTGGCGTTCCGCTGGTGTTCCGGTACCGTTTTGCTGGCGTTCCGCTGGTGTTCCGGTACCGTTTTGCTGGCGTTCCGGTGGCGTTCCGGTACCGTTCTGCTGGCGTTCCGGCGGCGTTCCGCTGGTGTTCCCATGGCGTCCCCATGGCGTTCCGGTACAGTTCTGCTGGCGTTCCGGTACCGTTCCGCTGGCGTTCCGGTACCGTTTTGCTGGCGTTCCGATGGCGTTCCGGTACCGTTCCGTTGGCGTTCCGCAGGCGTTCCGCTGGCGTTCCGTCGGCGTTCTGGTGGCTTTCCGGTACCGTTCCGGCGGCATTCCGGTACCGTTCTGCTGGCGTTCCGGTACCGTTCTGCTGGCGTTCCGGTGCCGTTCTGCTGGCGTTCCGGTACCGTTCTGCTGGCGTTCCGGTGCCGTTCTGCTGGCGTTCCGGTGCCGTTCTGCTGGCGTTCCGGCGGCATTCCGGTACCGTTCTGCTGGCGTTCCGGCGGCCTTCCGCTGGCGTTCCGGTACCGTTCTGCTGGCGTTCCGGTGACGTTCCGGTGGGGTTCCGGTACCGTTCCCGTGGCGTTTCGGTACTGACGTTCGTCTCTCCGCCCCCTTTCAGGCTGCCCCCGCGAGCAGAAGCGTGTCTGGTTTGCCGACGGCATCCTGCCCAACGGAGAAGTCGCCGACACCTCCAGGCTGTCGGCGCCGAGCCGCCGCAGCTCACAGGACGCAGCCTCAGAGCCGGTGAGACCCCGATTCATCCTGTTGGGAAGAGACAGGAAGAGTTACAGACAATTAACCAACTGTTTACTTTTCTTTTTTTTATTTATTTTATTTATTTATTTTTTAATTTTATATTTTTTCCATTTTATTTTTTTATTTAACTTTTTGTTTTTCTAGTGTTTTTTTTATTTTGAATTATTTTTATATTTGTTTTTATTTTATTGTCATGACTGAGCTGGTTTATCAGTTAGTTTTAGGATGGGGTGTTTTTTTGTCATTTATATTATTATTATAATTACTATTATTATTACAAATGAATATAGAAATAAACAATAAATATATGTTTATTATTTTTTTATATATATATATTATTGTATTTATATATTGTATTTATGTATATATTTATTATTATCATTAAAATAA